TGCAGTTGATTACATTGGACGTCGTATACGTAGCCAAACACTACCCTATTTGATTAATGAAAGGTGAGTAAAGGACGACAAAATCTTCAATCTGTGAACACCTTCTGGAGTCTCGGCCTTCAGCCCCACGTGATTTATCTTTCAGAGTTATCTACAGGACAGAATCCAACCACTCCAAAAGCTTACGTTCTCCCCATTTATGCATAGCCGAATCTCTAGCTATTATACATAGAAAGAAAAGTAAATTATGAGTTCAAAAACGTTTTCTTAAAACCCTTTCTTTACTTTGGTCATAGTTCTTTTCTTTTCTTTTATTTCTATTTTACCACTTGAACTCATTCCACTTCGCTTCACCTTCGCCGTCTTTATTTTTATTGAGACAACACTTGACCTACAATTCTAAATTCTTTATACCACTTCACTTATGTTTAATAATCTTTAAAAGTTTTGTAATTCATCCATTTCAATCAGCTCTGCCGCGCCCACCTTAATACCTCCTCATTTTAATTATCTTTATTCTTATCGTCATATGTGTAATACTGACCATTGAGCAATTTCTAGTGTCACCTATGAATGCCTTCTTTTTCTGTAATATAAATACGACTGCTGTACAGCTAATTAAAAGTAAAATCATACTTTTTTTCGAGTTAAACCAAGGACTGATATCAGTTAGAGAACTGGATTGCTGTTTCATCCTAGTTTATGGAATCATCAAACAGCACCGACCCACTGCCAAGGGAATGAACGCACAACCTTCCGGTTGTAAGGTCATCAAGCTGGTATACCATTCAACCGCTGCAGCGCCCGGATCCAATATCCCATGAGTATTCATGACCAGTGAGATGCATCCAGTCAGGAGAGAAGATGAATGTCCTACAGATGATGATATTTATTGATACCAGTCGCGCTAAAATCATGAAGTTTATTTGCTGAAACAGTATTAACACACTTATCCAAAGAGTTCACGTTTAAAGAAAAAATCTATGTATGCATACAATAGTAAAAGATTTACGTAATAAAGACAAGAGGTTTTAAGCCAAAGGCTTCGTAATCAAATGAGAGAGAGAGAGAACAAAGACCTATTGTTACCATGATAGGTAAGGGACGACTGATATCTGCATCTTTCTAAACACCAAATCGAGTTTGAGGAATCTAATAGAGATTACTTCACCAAAATTAAGGAGAATTGAGCTATTTTCTCTACTGGTAATTTAAAAAGATTTTATGGTATCTACCTCATAATCGGTATCATAAAGATGTCTGGCAATGGTACTATTGAAAGCGTTTGTTTCTTTGAGACGTAGACGTCTTGATATATGTTCGGGTTATCAGTGTTTACTTGTCCTGGCAACTGGATGTCATTATTCTCTCTTTCATTTGATCACGTAATCTTTGGTTCTAATCCTTTGTCTTTCTCTTTAACTCCACTACTGCTGTATGCATGAATTGATTTTTGTAGACTAAATTCCAACGGCCAGTCAAGTTCTCAATGTGGTCACCATGCCAACAGGTGACTCACCATCACGGTACACTTTAAAATTGTTGATATTATATGGCTGGAGGCAATCGGACACAGGATGTCTTGATTCTGCCTAGGTTTCATGCTAGTTGGCACTAACCAGTCAGTAAGGCGTATCTGATGGCTCGAAGGAACTGGACACATTACACTAGTTACTGACTAGTGTTCAATCAAACCAAAAAAATATCCAATACAGTCCTACAGGAGGTTATTTGTGGGCCCGAATAGATCATTGATAATGTCTCTGACTGTAGGCGGCACTAGGTGACGTAGGTTCGAATCTCAGAAGGGATGTGGGCCCCTTAAAGTTTTCAGATACTCCTTGCTGACTGGTGAGTGCCAGCTAGCATGAAACCTAACCAACCAACCACCGACAGTAACAACAACCAGCACCGATCACCATCGACAGGAGAGATAATAACAGAGGTTACTTCCTTCACTTATAAAGGAGGCATAGTTTCAACCACAGGGAGTTAGACAGCATGGATAAAGATGCTAAAGCCAGTCAGAATCGGAAAGGCAAGATACGCCTTCATCAAGCTAAATCCAATTTGGAAATCGTCTATACTCAGTATGAGGAACAAGACTCGAAATTTTCAACACAAATATGAAATCAGTCACCTCTTTTATACGGGTCAGAAACTTGCGCTGGGTGTCATGAAGAGGATTTCAGTTAGATTGCAGACTTTTATCAACAGCTGCCATCTTCTCTGGCTCCATACTGAAGACTAAATTGCCAGAAAGAGTTAGTAATAAGAAATTCTGGATGAGAGCATTCCATCCAAGAGCCAATTACCCAACAGATATGTAGGAGAAGATCAAGATGGATCGGATATACATTGAGGAGACTATCACATGACATCGCGTGCAGTGCAGGCCATCGTTCGAATGGAATCCAAATGAGAAGTGACGAGCGGATCGCCACTACGAGGGTGACATAGAAGAGGAGATGAGAGATTATGGTCAATTATGGACCCAGCTGAAAAGGACGACAGAAAATCGAAGAAAGTAGAGATGTGTTGTTGAAGCCGTATATTCCACTTCCAACCCAAAAGCATAATAATAATAACATTTATTCTCATACTACTACTATTATTATTATTATTGTATCCTTTAGTTCCTAGAGGAACATACGGATTCAGCTGCGCACCTCCATTGCCTTCTGTTTTCTGCCAACTTTTTCACCCCGCTCCAGGTCTGTCCACATGCTTTCATCTCCTCCTCACATGACCTCCTCCAGGTCACCCTTGCACTGACGACCAACTCGCCTCTTCCTATTCGGTCGGGTTCCACTCGAGCGATGGCTTGTCTAGTGATGTCACTTGATGGTTTCCTCAGAGTATGGCCACAAATCCGCCTAACTCCATTTCTTCTTGTATATTTGTTTCACAATCGGTTCCTGATTGGTTCGCTCCCAGAGATCCCTGTTGCTGATTTCTTCTGCCCGGCCATCTGATCTTGAGTAGGATTGAGTGAAGACAGCTGTTAATGAAGGTCTGAAGTTTGTTCGAGATGCTCTTCATGACGCGCCAAGTCTCTGATCTGTATAGTAGCACTGACTTTACATTGGAGTTGAAAATCCGGATCTTACTTTTGATGCTGAGTGCTGTTGACCTCCACACAGATTTCAGAGTAATGAAAGCTTGTCTTGCTTTTCCGATTCTGGCTTTGATATCCTCGTCAGTTCCGTTCGCCTGTAGTTGAGACGATGCTTCCCAGGTAGGTGAAGGAGGTTGTTTCTTTCAGGTTCTTCCCACTTATGCTGATTGTTGTCTGTTGTTGTTGCTGCTGTTGATGTTGGCTAGGAATCTTCATTAACTCTGTTTTATCTATGTTCACTTGAAGTCCTATCTTCTCTGGATGCTTCTTCTGCCAACTTGTTACTTTTCACTTGCATATCTTCCAGTTTATGGAAATCAGACATATATCATCGGCGAAATCCAGATCCTCCAAGTCTTTTGTGTCAGTCCATTTTATGCCTGTTCCCTCGTTGGTTGCCGTTGTCTGTCGCATTATCCAATCAATTGCAATCAGGAAGATCATTGGTGATAGTAGGCAGCCTTGCCTCACTCCCGTCCTCACTTCGAAGGCTTCCGTAAGTTTCCCGTTGTGGATTACTTGGCATGCAGCATTGTCGTATAACTGTTGGATGAGGTGTATAATTGTTGATGGGACCCCGTAGTAGCGAAGTAGTTTCCAAATGACCTCTCGATCGACGCTGTCGAAGGCCTTTTCAAAGTCGATGAAGTTGAGATAGAGAGGTGACTGCCATTCCAAGCTTTGTTCAATGATGATCCGTAGAGTGGCGATTTGATCAATACATGATTTGTTTCTCCTGAATCCGGCGTGTTCCGGTCGAAGTTTTTCATCTAGGGCTTGTTTGATTCTCTCCAGGATGATGCGACTTAGTATCTTGCTTGGAATGGACAGAAGCATAATTCCACGCCAGTTTTTACATTGACTTACATGGGTGTCACCAGACGGGCAAACCAAAAACCAAATCGACTTCATCTCAATCTCAAGGAAGTGGAGGCGCAGCCTACTGGACACAAAAGCAAGAAGAGGAGCAGACGTTGGTTCAGACCACTATCTCGTACAAGGGACAATCCAAATCGAAAAAAAAGCTCATACTACTATCAACCGTCAATAAATAAATCTCTCATGTTTTTCCATCTATCGTATCCCGGATGACACATGTATCATTATGTAATAATTTATTTCATTTCTTGTCGTATGAGTTAAAATTAAATAACCTGTAAAAGAAATTAAATCATCAAAATTCTTTTTTTTCAGACATCATATTATTTTACATTCTAATTTCTTTATCTTCATAATTTGTACTAGCACAGTCTGGCATGCAGACATTAAACAGCATCCTAGATAATGATTACAAAATACAGACGACCCCCCCACACACACACGCACGCACACTATAGTATAAGACAGATAAATACACCTGATGCACAGCACGTCTGTATATTGATGTGATTCTGTTCATTGTCTGTGTTTAACTACCTTATATTATTTGTACATACCTACATTAAATAAATTGGACAGTACATATTGCCTAGTACACATTCTACAATCCTCTTCTCTCCCCTTCTCCCGAATACCTGCCTCTTCTACAGACAAGTTATTTGTAGATTTTGTGCATTCAAGGTTGTGTATCCAAGAGAAGTGGGAGTTTTTGCTCTGAAATTCACCCTCATCATAATCATCATTTATGTCACATGAAACACAGTTGGTAGAATAAAAAGTTTAAATACTACAAATCAGGTTGATACTTATTCAGATTGAAGAATTGAAGGAAGACAGGCGATTCCACATGTTTTTGTCATGTCCTCTTGATAATTTAACGAAAATTGAAGGAATTCCTAGGCTGTACTGACTATATATTTACTGATGAAAACTAGATCCTTGAAAATGACTTTCATTTTATATAATTTATTATTATTATTATTACTATTATTATTCTGTTTAGTTAATCTAAGCAGTACACAAAAAACTTCTGGAATATATGTCAATAAAACATCGCCATCATCGTTATTGAATGGAGAAATCTTTTTGAATTCAAATTTACCGCTAAATTCATACATTAAAACAAATCAAAATGAATTTGAATCTTCTATGGCTGTTGAATGTATTCAATATAATAATTGTACACAATTGGATTTAGCTGGACTACGAAAATCGGTAAGTATCAGAAACTTTTCAAAATAAAGATGTAAACATTTTGAATATAATTCATATATTTTGGTGATATGATATTAAGACCATTATGGATGAGATTTTATTTTGATAAATCACACAGTATAGTGTTATACAGTAATATTAACTGATGACCACTTTTCGAGCACAAACTATTGCCACTCATAATCAATTCAAGGCACTACTCACTCACACAACTTCCTTCCTTCATTTATATACATGAGTGGAATTGAATGGATATTTGAATAGAAATCAATATGAGATAATGTACATTTAGAAATAATGATATGAGTGTTATTGATCCATTACAGTTAGATGGGAAATAAGACGACTGTTTTCATAGTCAGCAATATAGATTATAGATCACCAGTATATCGTATCGTAGCAGATATATTTATGGACAGCTGGGAAAGTAGTGCTCTTAATACATGTAATCCTGCTCCGAAGATATGCTGGTGATATGTGTGGATGACACTTTCACAGTGTTAAAAACAGAACATATCTCTAGTTTCTTGACACATATAAACTCACTATTGGAGGGAATAAAATTCACATTTGAATCAGAAAATGAACTAGGAGAATTAGGTATGCTGTTAGATTGTAAAATAAAACGAATAGAAGAAGGCAAACTACACACTGGTGTTTATAGAAAACCAACGCATTCTAATAGATATTTAGACTTTAATTCGTCTCATCCATTAACTGTTAAGGCAGGCTTAGTGAATTGTCTATTAAACCGAGCAGTAGCACTAAGTAGCACAAGAAAACACCCAAATGACGAACTAAAACTGATAGAAGTGGCGTTGGTGTTAAATAATTATCCTATAAAATTCATTAGGAAGAACGGTAAAGGCCAAAAAAAAAATAAAAATAATTGTGAAACTAGTAATAACAACATAAACAAGAGAGAATATAAGTCATCTACAGTTATACCATATAAAGAGGGGACATCTGAGACCCTACGTAGGATCATTAATAAAGCAGGAATTAGGGTGCCGTTTAAGCCTACAAACTCACTGAGCTAGGACAAGCTCTGTAGGTTAAAGAACCCTGTCGGTTGACCGAATTACACAAAATAATATAATTTACAAAATACCCTGCAATGACTGTGAGGTTAACTACGTAGGTCCAACTATAGGTCGGGGGTAGCCAGATTATAAGAATATGAGAATTTAGCTAAGGGAAGAATGGTTGTCTTCGAGGGGATAAGTAATTTAGAAAAAAGCTCAGCTATTGCACTTCACGAATTAACACAACCACACAATAGGGTGGGATAGGGTTAAAATTTAAAAAAGTAATATAGGTAGGTGGAGAGAGAAGTTGATTACTGAATCCTACCTGGTTTATCGAGTCTGCACCCAACACATACAACAGAAATGACTCAATGCAAATACCAGAGATATGAAAGATATTATTACCGCCGGTCAAATCAGAGTAGAGTAGTAAATAATCTTAAAATTCTATTTCAGTTCAAACACATCACAACATTCTAACAAGTAACTTATTATGACTATAAAAACACTCGTCTTATTTCCCATCTAACTGTAATTGATCAGGAACACTCATATCATTATTTCTGAATGAACATTATCCTATACTGATTTTTCTTTAAATATCTAGTCAATTCCACACATGTTTATAAATGAAGGAAAAAAGTTGTGTGAGTGATTAGTGCCTTGAATTGATTATGAGTGGCAATAGTTTGTGCTCGAAACGTGGTCGCATCAGTTAATATTACTGTATAACACACTGTGTGATTTATCAAAATAAAATCTTATCCATAATGAACCTGGAATATAATTCTGAATACACGAAAATAAATGAACTACGTACATATGAGTACAAATCATAAATGTGTGGATTAAAAAGCCGAACAATTCCGACAGTTAGTGTGATGATCACGGGCAGTAATTTTGTTCAAAATATTACTAATAACAAAAAAAAACTCGTCATTGTGTGTAAACCACTGAAATAATAATTATACTTTATTTGATCTATTACACAATGCGGAGAAAACTTTCTACTGATGTTAAGCGATAATTTTACTGTGATACTCATTCCCATCCACCTGAACTGTCCATCACAATATATGTATAAATTCAATATGTTGTTCGATGCTTTATTTTGTCTCCAAGCTATCCTTTGTTTCAAACGAAATCTTAACTCAACTTCCACTTTCTTGTCTAATTATATTATAAATAGTTAACCCCTTTCTAACACTGGATAATTTGTCTACCTACATCATATTTGGAATCATGTTGTTTATGCCTTCCATCAATAACTCGAATTCACTGTGAGGAACGTATGTTCAGAAATGTTGTCATTACTAATTTTATATTGTTTAGGATGTACGACGCTGTTGAAGAGGGAGAATTCACGAAATCAGACGAGCTCTTTTTATTCTGTCTGTAAATATGTTCGTCCTTTCTTTATTCAAACTAATAAAGAGACCGGTTATACGATAATAAAGCTCTTACAAAACCTAGACAAAACCGAATAGAGCAGAACAAGTGTAGTTCAGCGAAGAGCCTCTTTACATGGCTGAGTTCATCTTCCTCTTTAGATGAACGATCGTGTTGTGGCAAAGGTGATGGTGTTACAATCATAGTTGTTAATGTTAATCAATACAACAGAGTATACGAATAAGTTTACTGGATTTACATATTACGATGAATAATTGAAGGAGTTATATTCACTGAGCTGGATGGTTTATAGTTGCGAATCTTTCATTGCCCAACTAAGCAACATCTTCAGCGCATACTTCAATTTGATCAAGTCAGCTTTTAGATTTCTCTGCGAGTTTTTTAGTCATCTCTCCTGGTGTGTGTGTGACCTAGAACAGCGTCGTGATTGTTTGTGGTTTGTGTGTTTGCACACCTTCTAAGCTGCTGCTTGTATTGGTATTGGTGCTGATTGTTTCCTTGACCGGACGTGTGCCCCTTTGGGTGTGAGATTCCCTTATTATCGATTGGTATTGATTGACAATTCACTGGGATACCAGACCTCCAAAAATTCTTAGTGTTTCCTCTGTCTAATATTTGAATCTAAAAGCTCACTTCATCAAATAGAAGTATGTGCTGCAGATGTCGCCTAGTTGGGGCAATGAAAACTTTGCAGCTATAAACCATCCAGCTCAGCCAACACAACCACATCAAAATCATCCAAATGAGCTACAAATCTTCTCCACCATATCTGAATTGTAATCAGGATTCGCAGAGAAACGAAGGAAAATATCAAATTACTTAAAATGTTGAAAGTGATACAAGAGCTGTAGAGAACCAAAAAGAAAATAAACAAGTTGGTGGAAAACAGAAAGATTAGCACCGCAATAGTTGAATTTGTTGTATAATGTATGCGGAGCTCCGGTTAAGTGTTGTCAGTGCTTCGACGAGAATTTTGAAGTCCCCTTATTTGTTTTTACTAGGTTAGAATGGTTGGTTTATGTTAGGATGTTGACATCTAGTAAATCTGTTTCGACAACATCTTTGCGGGAGTGATGGCTAGTTCAAGCAAATATAAGAAATCTAAAGTTTCGGCATATAAAATCTGTTTTTTTTTCATCTTACCTCTGAGTTCTGAGTGAAACACAAGGCTTAAAACTTAGGCTCTGAAGTTTCAATAGCAGGAGTGTTATTTTGTTCTACTGGGTGGGGTCGCCAGTCTCACTCTACACCTTTTTTCTTTGCCTGGCTTATTACTGGGTGGACGATGTTTAGAGGTGCGTTGAAAGGGTTTGGAACGTCAGAATATCTGTGTGATTGGCAAATATTCCACCCCTGAACCACCATTGATACCCGTAGCAAAATAATTGACATTCATAGTTCGCTTATCAAGTTAGTTTCGATTTGCTATTTGAAATGTTGGGTGCAGAGTGTGCATAGCAGTAGAAGCAACACTTACTGATAGAAAGATGCAACACTACTTAGTTAATTTCAAATAAGATGAAAGCATCCCTTGAATTCCACTATTTGTCAACTGAAGTCAATGTGAAACTTTCCGGTATTTCTACTCTCAACTTCGTAATACGCGAGGTATTTGCTGGACAAACATCAATTCTGTTTACTGTATACCACTCCTAATGAAGCCATTAAACACTAATATTGTTTATTATCAGTGATATGAGACTATTTACATTATTTCGTGGTAAAAATAGTAGTTTTAGTTATCATGTTTTCTGTATATACTTATATATAAATCCAGTGTTTATTTTGCCCTGCAATGATGAATCTGTATTTACACTGTTATACTGTGACACATAAACTGAATGATGGTGAATCAGCACGGTAATAAATAAGACTTAGTTGTGTTAAATTATCATGTGGATAACAAAAGTGACTCGCCGAATAACTAACTAGCTGACTAACTAACCAACTAACTAACTAACTAACCTGTGACTGACTACCTAACTAACCAACTAACTGACTAACGAACTAACTAACTAACCTGTGACTGACTAACTAACTAACTAACTGACCAACTAACTAACTGACTAACTAACTAACTGATTAACTAACTGACTAACTAACTAACTGACTAACTAACTAACTGACTAACGAACTAACTAACTAACTAACTAACCAACTAACTAACTAACTGACTAACGAACTAACTAACTAACCAACTAACTAACTAACTGACTAACTAACTAACTAACTAACTAACTAACTAACTAACCTGTGACTGACTACCTAACTAACCAACTAACTGACTAACGAACTAACTAACTGACTAAATAACTAACTAACTAACCAACTAACTAACTAACCTGTGACTGACTACCTAACTAACCAACTAACTGACTAACGAACTAACTGACTAACTAACCTGTGACTGACTACCTAACTAACCAACTAACTGACTAACGAACTAACTAACTGACTAACTAACTAACTGACTTACGAACTAACTAACTAACTGACTAAATAACTAACCAACTAACTAACTGACTGACTAACTAACTAACTGACTAACGAACTAACTAACTA